GGCTATGGCGGTAAGTATCATGGAACTTCAGAAAGATGAAATTTGCATCAAAAATCTGAAGAATTGCATCGTGAACTGGCGAACCATTCTTTCTGAAGCTGAAAATCTCGCGGCTTTGCAGCTTCGCATCGAGAACATCCCGCAGCTCTTGCTTCACTTACAGTCACTTGCCAACTTCATGGAAATGCGAGGCCTAGAAACTGACAAGCTTGTCATTCTTCGCCTTATCGCTGATTACAACGAACTCTACTGTGAAGTATCTGGTCACAACGACATTGTGTCAACTTACAGTGCCTTGGGCCTCTCGTGGCTCCAACTTGGATATTCTGGAAAAGCTGGATTAGCATTGGACAAGGCGCAAAGTTTCAGCTTGCGTAGCAATCTTGGTGCCAAAACAGATCTTCACATTGCACACTCACAATACATGTTAGCACTTGGAAATCTTGAAAAATGGTAGGTCCACAAATTTTGAACCTCCAGAACCCACTGACATATAATAGCCAATTTCATCTAGAGTGTGCCGAAGGAGCTTTTATTTTGGAACGAAAAGAATTAGAAGAAGATAAATCGCCTCTCAGTCTTCAAGAAAAGACTCGACTGAATTGTGTTGTGGCAAAAGCTTCTTTGATTCGATCGATGCTTGCCATTGAACAGGGAGGCTCAGAATCTGCTCTTGTCCATGCTAAACAGAGCGTCAGACTACTCAGGCGCGCATGGGCTACCACCGAAGCAATACTTCGGAAAAAGAAACTGGCGGCTGTACCCAGAGACGATGCGGAGAAAGTAGTGGATGGGCTCTCCCAACTGGATATTTCTACAAACAAAATAGCGGGTCAACCTCAGCCACAAGACAGCCCATCAGGAATTGGATTTTGGCCATTGGTCGCCCCTCTTTTCCATGGGTTGATTCATTTATCAAATCTGTACGCTCATCATGGGCTATTTCAAGAGACGTTACATTATGGAGAGCAAGCTCACGAGCTTATTAAATCATTCAATTTTGATGGGCAGTCTGCAATAGCTTTGGCCACACTTGGAAACATCTGGACTAAAGCTGGGAATCTAGACAAGGGCACCAATTATCTTACAGATGCAGAAAAGTTCTACAAAGACGGGACCAAGGGCAAAAGTTCGGTCACAGTTGCATGCCAAATTGGACGTCTCCGTGGAATGCTTGGAGATCGTAAAGCAGAAATTGCATGTCTGGAGGAAGCAAATCAAACTCTCAAAACTCTCATAGACCCTGCATTTCTTGCAACCCTCGAATTGGGTGATATTAGTGCGCCGGATGTTCCTGATACGTTGGAAACCGGAATTCAAACGCTCTCTATATCAAAACGAAAAGCGCCAGCGGCTCGAAAAACTACCACACGTAAGAAATTGCCAGTTCCCCGAAAGCCTGTCGTTCGTTCCAAAACTCCAACACCCGTGGAATCATCAGTTAGCACAGAGTGTCCTCAATTAGACTCTTTACGAGCAAATATTCTGTGGCAATTGGCTGACGCTCTCATGAGCGTAAAAAAAAGGAATGAAGCCCAGGTCTTCTTAGATGAAGCCAGTAAATACTCTAATAGCCAATTGGACGAGGTATACCAAGGTCTCTCGGAGGCTCGATGTTTGCTTGTACGATGCATGGAACAAATGGTCTCCGATCCAGTATACTCTGTACTTCAAGACTCAACTCTCTCATTTCCATCGGTTGTCGGAAGTCTAAAAGGCAATAAGAACCACGCCGAAAACTTAAATCCCGTACAACAATCACCACCTAGAAAAACACAAACATCGAGAAGTGGTCGTGGGGCAAAGAGTCCAAGTCCTGATAACCTTTTTGACAAGTTACACCGAGCCCAAGAGATTCTAGTGGAAACCTATCCAGTTGCATTTCTCGTTGCTCCAATCTCTGTCATGCACAAGATAACTTCTCTCTTGAACAATGTCTCCATTTTGCTCTCTGCTGCGGGGCCAATCAAGGGAAGATCTCAACCCGGTCTTGCAAGTTGCTCCATTGATTCTGCGCGTACTCTTGCATTCCGCAGAGAGCGTAAAGTCATCTTACAAGAGACTTGTATCCCAGAACTCGATGACCTTCGTTGGCCCGATTGTGGGGCTATGTCCCGGCGATCGAGTCTCGGCGCTTCATTATCATTCTGCGATATTCCGAAATTTCAAAAGGAATATATAGATATCCTCCCCAAAACATGGACTGCCCTCTCAATATCTTTGAGCGAGAACCGCCAAGAACTTTCTATCACTAAATTACAAACCGGTCATAGTCCATTTGTACTTCGTCTACCTTTAGGGCGTAACAATTCCATGGATGCAGATGAAGAAGTATTTGGGTTTGAGCAAGGAAAAAGCGAGCTCTTAAATATCATTGATTCTGCGAAGGCCAACTCCCAAAGCGGCCCTAGCAGAACAGGTCGTGAAGCCAAACTTGCTTGGTGGGCAGAACGTGCAGAGTTAGACTCTCGTCTTAAGGATCTACTAGAAAATATCGAGAAGGTATGGTTAGGAGGGTTTGCAGGAATCTTCTCTCAATTCACCAGAAAGTCGGATCTTCTCGCTCGTTTTCAAAAATCCTTTGAGAACATACTTGACAAGCATCTCCCTTCTCGTCGAAAGAGCAAGCGAAACTCTGGACCTCGTGTTACTTTGGACAGCAGGATTTTGGAGCTATTTATCGGTCTTGGTAATCCATCAGCAGATGATAGCGATTTTTCTGAACAACTGACTGATCTTTTGTATTTCGTTGTTGACGTTCTTCAATTCCACGGAGAATTGAACGCTTATGCAGAAATTGATTTCGATTCAATCGTCATTGAAATCCATGATGCTCTACGTTGCTACCACGAAGCTGCTCACAATTTGAGTCAGCACGACGAAGGAAAACATACTATACTGATATTAGACAAGGCTCTTCATATCTTTCCATGGGAATCACTACCATGTATGGAAGGCTTAGCAGTCTCGCGTCTTCCATCACTTGGATGTCTTCGGGACCGAATTTCCAAACAACAGAAAGCGACAGATGAAGGTCCAGAAGGGCATTACATCGATCGCAATAACGGCGCCTATATCCTGAACCCCGAAGGCGATCTCAAGAACACACAAACCACTTTCCAAGCTCCTCTAGAAGCACTTCCTTCTTGGTCCGGCATTGTCAATCGTGCACCTTCTGAAGAAGAAATGAAATATGAGTTACAAAATAAAGACGTCTTCTTGTATTTTGGCCATGGAAGCGGAGGACAATTCATTCGTTCTAAAGAAATTCGCAAGATGGAGAAATGCGCAGTGACAATTTTGATGGGTTGTAGTAGTGGTGCGCTCACGAATTATGGAGAATTCGAATTGGGAGGCCAGCCGATACATTATATGCATGCGGGGAGTGCGGCATTGGTAGCGACATTATGGGATGTTACGGATAGGGATATCGATCGGTTTGCGGGGAAGATGTTGGAGGGGTGGGGACTGTTAGGGAAGGAGGGGAGGAAAGGGACGGAAAAAGAAAAGAAGAAGGGGGGAGGAAGAAAGAAGGGGAACGAGGAGAAGGATGTAGAGGGTGGAGGAAAGTTGTCGTTGATTGAGGCGGTGGCACAGGCGAAGGGGGCTTGCAAATTGAAATATCTTAATGCGGCTGCGGTTTGTGTTTATGGTATTCCGGTTTACATTAGGGACTAGTATTGCCCAGGAGAACGTGTATATATGGGATGGAGGGAGTTGGACATGGCATAAATGAAGTGACAAGGAAGTGATTCCTTGATTATATGGCGTATGGATAGCATAGCGTTACGGTGTTTGAGACATGGTTATGGACATGGTTAGAGAACTGGTATGGAGTATATCCCTGTGTTATTTGATGATCGATTAACAACGCGTTCTATTCTTAATGAAACGTCTATTACTGTTAAGAGCAGCTTTAATATATCGATTCAGTACTTCAACCATTTTATTGATGGGCTGTGATATTTTTGTGGAGTATTTGTTCACCATGCTGATCAGCTTAGCATTTTAATCTTTAGGAGATATTCATTCATGGATCTGTTGAGTATACTTTCTCACTTAGTATCCGTTCAGGATATCGCCTTTCCTCAATATTCATGTTTACCTACATATAATCAAACACATTCAAGCTCTCATATCCATTCAATCATCCTCAATCACCTAGTCATTTATATCTATTTAATCTCTTGTACTCGAGTACGCATTATATATTTAGCATTCTCACCCAGATATTGAGAGATCCAGAAAGAGATCCCGCCAGGCGGGACTAATACTTGATGTGTGTTTGACAGCGTGCAAATGAGTCAAACAGCGATGAAAAGGGAAAAGAGCCAGACGGGAAAATGAAGAGAAGAGAGAGAGAAAGCAAGAATCGTCTCCTGTTTCACCGCAGTTGTCCGTTTTATTTTATTTTATACATATCAAGGTACCTACCTCACTACTCGGATGTATGTAGACAAAGAGTTAGTATAATCATCAGATTTCAACTTTTAGAAGGGTCCCGAAGAGCATCGATGTAAACTGATAGATACTGGGTATACTGAACAATTCCTAGACACGTCTCCCGTCTCACATTGCTCTCCTTTGCAGTATCGTTTGACTGTTGGGCTGGCTAATGTATATTCAGAACACATAACAAAACGTAGAATAGAGAATTGCAGAAGCTCTCTACTCTTTCTTCAAAACGAGGAACAGGAATACGCCCATCTAGTCCTTTCCAAATCGATACTATGCCTTCATAGCTGGAATCCCAAAGACAAAGACTAGAGAAGAGCCGAGAAATAAGAAAAATCATATCATAGGTAGGTCAACTATCTATTCCAGAGCCTTCATATTCGCATTCGTATTCATAACAATTGATTCCCTCCTGATGTTTCCCCTCACTCGCGGATTTCGAATCCATAACGCCTTATCCTTATACACCATACTAGCCCAATATCATCCCAGTTTTCCCCTTCTCCAATGTGCATCCTATACCACAGACGTTTCAATGCCCATCTCTAATCATCCCACTCCTCATCCAATTGATCTATCAAACGATTTTCATCCTCACTCCCCGAATTTCTCCTCCCACTTTCATTTGCACTAACGCCTCTATCCCTCCCACTCCCTCTACCATTACTTCCATCTCCAGAGTGTCCATTTGCGGAGATACTCAAGGTATTATATCCCCTATGGGTTGGTAAACATCTTGAGCATGATGAAGTAGCGATGATGAAAACGTCCTAATTAGTGTTAGTTATGCTTTTCGCCAAGACTTTTGTTCTTCTGTATAAATGGATAGAGGTGGATAGCGGTATACCAAGACAAAAAGAAATATGCAAATAGCAATATGTGATTATGGATGCAGCTTGACTTTGACACGCTTGTGAGGGTTTTCATTGCGATAAGTAGTGAAAAAGGAAGATTGTGATAATCTTTGATTGAAACGCCGGGTATTGTATGCTATAATGCTGAATGCCTATCCTAATTGCAGCCTGAAAACCGAAAAGAAAATGCTATGCTGAATGTCGCTGGCTCAATTATTTTGAATATATAAAGAAAACTTCGTCCTCCCACATGAGAGAACTTGTGTTCCGTGTATGGAATTACTCGGAACGTATATACGACTTCTGCGACCTGCGATTCGACATTCCCCTCACCTCCATCGTCGGCAATATCGACGAGCCATCCCGAACGGACGCTACACGGGGAAAGAGTTGTGGTGCTGATCTCATAAGACATTTTTTGCAGCTCACCTTTATGAAATCTCCTATGCTAGCCCAGAAGCTATAATTGGGCAATTGCCTCCACCCTCTTGCATGCGCGACATTTCGTTGATAGAAAACACCACCTAGGAAATATACCAGTATAGCAATAACTCCTATGATGGCGAAGACAGCACCCGGACCTACAGTCTGTTTGGCAGGTTCGGAGCCTCCGCAAGCAGCTTGTGAGCGCACTTCGAAGAAATAGGCGCATTCTTCTGGATCGGTTCCTACGTACGAGGCGGATGCAGTAGCGAGTGGGTCTTTCTCGCAATGAAAAGATATTATGCTAGATTTCCGCCGTATGGATTTATCGTCGTCATCGTCATCGTCCCAGCTTCTTTTTTTGTTCTTTCCTCCACATGGCGATCCATTCGTATACTCTACAACAAGCTTTCTTCCGCGGAGTGTTAAGTTTCCTGATTGCTGACTGAAATATGCTGATTAATTTGTTTGTCTGTAACAATAAAAGAAAGATCCAACTTACCCTACGGAATACTTCTTTCCGTCATATTCATAAAAAGCGCTCACATTCTTCCAATGGTTTTTGTCTACTCCCACAAAATCCTTCACCTCTTCTACCACTGGCGCGCACACGTTCAGTGTAAAGTTTCCTTTGTAATCATATCCTCTTGCATGCCAGCTGTCCGTCTTCGCATTTTTGGCAGGTTTCTTCCCTTCTTCTGGAGCTTGTATCGATAATGGTCTCAGATCAAAAAAAGACCCTGTTGTCGATGAAATAGTACATGGGTCAACAGGCTTGGGTTTCTTGTCCTCCAAGCCTGCACCTTCTACTCCAATGTGCAAGGCGAGTCCAAGCAGGAGGGCCGAGGGTAAAGATGTGAATCGCATGTTGGTTGGTTTCCCTCAGAAATTTTGGAATGGGGTAATCTCTACTATTCTGGGAGTTGAGAACGTCAGAGAGTAATAATTATGGAAATAAATTGAGCTTGTTGATAAAGCTCGAGAAATTCGACCAAGGTATGATGTTATGTTGAAGCTTCCTGATGCTTTCCAGGTACCGAGGAGGACACATAACGGCAATGCACCAAAATAAGGTTTTGGCGCTTGTCATCACGTGCCATTGCAACTCATGAAGCAATTAGGAAGGTGTTCAATATGAAGCTGTCTTCCTAGGTGTGTAGCAAATCAAGTAGAACATATGTTAAAAATCAAAGAAAAGCGTGATACATTCTAACGATAGCAATTAATAGTTATGAATGAAAGGTTGAGATGCTGTGGAGACATTATTGCCTGCTGTGTAGCTACAAATTCATAGCAAACTAACTTGAAGTTTTTTGAAGTTTGTGTTGATCAAATCACACATGTAGAGAACATGCTGGTACTAAAAGTTGTTACAAGAGTAAGTGAGCTCTCTTTTGCAGACAATCAAAGTCTAAAAAGCCTCAAAAACTAGAGCTTTCAACCAACCTCCTAGTACTTAGTGTGAGTTCCTGGTACTGATATTCATTAGCCACTTTAGACCCTCGGGGAGTTATCATGAGGAGTGGTTCTAGACATCGAATACCTGCTCCGTGGACCGTAAGCATCTTTCTATACAGTGCCAAGATCAGCAGGTGAGTAGACAACGTGGTTCTGTACCACATGAGCCATGGCACAAGAATAGTCGTCGGCGTTGCGGCAGTTGCCATTAAAATTGGAAGAGTATTTCGGACATAATCTTAAAGATAGAACAGAATCATGAATGGAAGTTTGCAAGGTCGTGAAATAACAATGTGCCTTCTCCATTGCAAGCTGTCCTTTTCATTTAAACACGTCATGGATCAGTGTGCTAGACTCCTAGAAGCGGAAAATCCCCAATAAAGATATCCATTCATTGGCATCTAACGGGTTTGACCCCCCCTATCAACGTCGAGACTCGAAATGCCAGAGGGGGTCGAGTCGACCGAGGTCGACGATATAAGGCTCGGTGAAAACCCAGCAGGTCGTTTCTTGCTAAGCTAAAGGGCCGTTTTTCGGGTCCGCTCATGAATTGATCCTTTAAGGTCCATTCTTTCAGCCGACTCCCAAGACTCAATGGCAGCATCCAAGGATTCTCAGAGAGGCTTGGTTGGTGACTCTGTATACTTTGTTTGTACTTCCCTGGAAAACTTCATTTTATCACGCGGCAAGTAGCCGCAGCTGCTCATGAACTCACGATGGGCGCATGATGGTCATAGTTGCCGAATTCGGACCCCATTCTCTTGACCGAGAGATTGCTGTATCGGTGTGCACTTTGAAAGTAAATCACGGTCGAAAGTGGATGGGATGTATCCTGAGCTGACAGAAATACTCAATTTTGGCCTCGCAATTTGAAACGTCAGCCCTGATGTATTCCCTCCTCGTTGCTCAAGGATTGGTTCGGTATATACTATATATTGATGGAGCTTCCAAGGTCCATGGATCATGAGATATGGACTCTACCGCGTAGCCTTAAAGCCCTTTGATCTTAACTATTTGAGGATATGAAATCCGAATAATCAAGTCCCACAGTCTCTCCGACTGATCTGCGTTTATTTGGCACATCTCAATTCTACGTGACATTGGAAACCTTAAAATAACAAAAGTGGGATGGCATTTTGGTATGTCATGGATGATGATGGTACCGACCACAATACTTGATGCTTAAAATTTCATACATCTTAATAATCACAGCCTTGTGGCAACTAAACATGTATTGGTTAATTAAGATCGGTGCGACAACAGTCAAACAGAAGGCTTTCAGTACAGCGCTACATTCCTGGCTGGACCTGCTGAAATAAGATAGCTTGGTAGATAAGGCTCCGTGGAGATATGCTTGACGTGATCATCTAGCTTGAAGAGAAACCCGGGCCAGCCTATACTTCGTGCAAATCACATCTCTCAGACCGGAAATGCAAAGTACAAGGGTAGTGTTCAAGGTTGGAAGTTAGAACTTAGTAGCGGATTTTGGCTTCAGAACCCCAGATATGTAAGATCTTACCTGTAAATGATGAAATTGATGAATCATAAAGCGTGGCACGCCCGCACGGTGTGAAGTATATTCTAAAAGGGATATAAATTGCCGTGGAGAAGAATTGGATATACGCGTGCAGCATCCAAAGCGACTACTCCGTACAGTATTGATGATTTATACAAGTTGTTGGTAGACTGTGGTTTGGACTCTGAAGGCTGGAAGATGTGGAAACTTGCTCGTCTATCGAATCTGTATTTTGAATTTGGAATCTAGCCTATTTAATCAACGCCCGCATCGTTTGTCACTCTTTTTTAGACCAATCATAATTCATGGTGGCGTTTTGTATTGCTCCATTGTCAGATGCGAAGTTGGCCGCTGCCTTGAGAAGTTGAGAAGAGTTTCTCTTTGGACGACCTCAACTTACAACGAACAAGTTGCAGCCGAGTGAAAAGCCACGATAGGTAAGACTCCAATTGAACCCAGGCAATGGATCAGGATGTGAAGTTACTATTTGGCAGGTGATCAAATCATCCATGCTCTGTAATTGTGATTTGAAGACATCCCGAACAATCATTGTGAATTTATGACGGCCACATCCGAATGATGACTTTCGGTCAAAATTCGACCTTTAATGATCAAGATGAATGACCAGATTGCCGGGAATAAACATGGCTTTACAATTGTGATATTGAGGATAATATCTTGGGAGAAAGGGAGCTTTTAGCCAAGTTCGTTGATGCAGTGAGGAGTGGTAAGCACTGGGCAAAGCGGAAGGGGAAAATGCCAAAAGAGCCATGCAAGCATTTACCATGGCAATGGTAGGATGTAACAATCACCGGTCCCGCGTACCACTCACATATCGTGAGAAATTTCAAACGATGCCAATGTAGACCTGAGCTATGCAATATATCCTTTCAGGCAAATCAATAAGTATGTAGCACCGACAAGCGAAGGAGGGAGAGCATGTTGATAAAGAAGCAATCAGATCAGTAAAGCCAGATAGATGAATGACCAGTACTCTCAACGGTTTCTGAAGAGCCAAGCTTTGTAGTGAGGCTGGTGTTGTTGGTATTGTCGTTGTCGGTGGTTCGTTGGTTCACAGAGCAGAATCGAGATGACACAGATTTTGGTGGCTGAGAGACTTATGCGTGTTCAGATAATAATGGATGAAGCGTGTAGTAGTACCTTTTATGGAAGCCATTTAGAAGCCATTTAGAAGGCCATCAATAAAAAAAGCTACGCTCGTTAGCACTGCCAGTATACGACATCCGCGATTCCGCACCTGATTTAACCTTGCTCACTCTGGTCTAGTTATGCCGAGAAAGAGCCACAATTAGTTTATGTGGAGAAAATATCCCTCGCAAGGTTCCATCGAGTCACGAATCGTGCATGTTCCTCTCCGCCTTTGCTGCAGTTTGCTGCCTTTTCCTGCATTTCTCTGCATTTCTCGTACCATGATGGGTTTACATTGTGCGGTTACAATGTCACTTTATTGATCTCTTCGAGTACATGCTGTACTCACCAAAACAGCAAGTCCCAAGCAGCTAATTGTGTATACCAGTCGAATTCCTTACCTTACCTACCTAGCACAGACAAAGGCGTACCCGTACCTACTTTGGACAATGCTCCTCTCTCTGTACAGTGCGATGTACTTACCAGTCAGCGAGATGCCGATCACGGTATGGAATCTGTATGGAATCTCAATTCTCCAATCAAGAGACCGTACTAATGGGCTCCATATTAAAAATATTTTGAATGGATTCATCAAAACTTCAAAAGTCCTAGTTCTTTCGGTCTTGTGCCTGGCTAACTGAATTCAAACATCATCTGAGATCCCGAGCTGCATCATCGTCAAATTGTCATTACCAGCCCTTCTGACAATCCTCGTCGTCTCGCATTTCTCATGGTGTCTTGGTCCAGCGTAGAGTTGGCCCTCACTCTGTCTGCACATTCAACATTGTCCGTAGGATCATACTTCGTAGTTAGTCGTTAGCAGTCACCCACCAGACGGCGTACGTACATGTATTTCTCCCAGTGAGTTTAACGAAGCCCCTCGCTGAGATGAACACGCTCCGTAAGTTGCCAAGACTCCTTTCACACGGTAACCTTGTCTTCCAATGCAATCATGTTCATATTATTTATTGCATTTTTAGATGAATAGCCCGAGCCGCACCAACGCCAACACCGCAAAAATTCTCTTCTCTGTTGGCGGAGTTCAAACTAGTGGATCCCAAACTACCTGGTACTCCTTTACTAGCTGCTAGAAGAATTTCCCATAAAAAATAAAAAATACGTATGAACCTTGGAATTAGAAACATCAACAAGAAGCAGGGTTCTGACTTGTAGTAGTGTACCGTGCTTTCCGAATCGGATCTGATTCAAACCCCTCCCTAACCGTGAAAAATATTCTCCTCCATCTAAAAGGAAGAAGCTCCTCAACTGAGTTTTCATTACACAACTTTTTGACCGAAGTCTCACATTCTTATTACTCTATCTTTTACTCTATCAATCATTCTCCAATACATTGTAACTGTATCAATCTCTATCACGCAACCACCGGTTCATCTCAGGCTCTCAGCCTCGTACGCCATCCCTACCTTATCTCCAGTTCCCAGAAATTCGGGAGTCAGTGGAACGGCGCCTATAGGGCCATATACCATCTGATAACGAGTAGTCTATTACTGTTTTTAGACGCAACCTCGCTGTCCAAGCTTCTGTCAAGCATTCACACTGTACCGGTTGTAGGGTGCATTCACTCTTTTAATTCGTTTGATCTGTATAAATTTTTGCCGAGGCCAATACCTGGGGCCAACAAAAGGCGGGGTTCGAAATACCATAGTATCACCATTTCTCCTTATTGAAATGGCAGACATCTCAACAAGCATGTCTATCGACGCAAAAGAATCTGTCCGAGAGGGCACAGATGAATCTTTGGATGCTTCTACACCAGAGGCGGAGACAGAAATCCCTCCGGAAAGTGTTGGCCAACAAAAGAGGAAGGGCGGTCGAAAGCCTGTATGTTGATAGAAGATACTCAGCTCTGTAGCGCCCCTTTGCTAATGCGATCCCTTAGATCTATGCTACTTCGGAGGAACGTAAGCAACGCAATCGTCAGGCGCAAGCAGCTTTCAGAGAGCGTCGCACAGAGTATATCAAGCAACTTGAAGAAACCATTAGAGTTCATGAGACGAACCTTCACAATCTCCAGAATGCTCACAGAAGTGCCGCTGATGAGTGTCTGATGCTTCGATATAAGAATTCTCTCCTTGAAAGAGTTCTTCTAGAGAAAGGTGATTATATCAATTGGGCATTCTTTCGAGCATAATCTAATTCTTCTGACAGGAATTGATGTCCAAGCCGAACTGCGTGCAAAGACAGGAAGTCCTCACCTTGGTCCAACGCATATGCAACAGAATATGGCTCAGCCACCTACTGTTCAGCGTGCCATTATGAACAGACATCATCAAGCTAGGCGATCGAACTCGAGCATTGCGCCGAAGCTTGAGCCCGGAGTTTCTTTCCATACCAATCAATCGCCACAGTCGAGACCTACTCCACCCTCGCACGCGTCGTCGCCAACGACAAGCTCGCCAGGCTTCAACAACCAAGGTGTACTAACTCCACCTTCTTCTGACTCTCAGATGCAGCATCAACAGCAACAACAACAACAACGCCTCCATGCCGCCAAAACACAAGCGCAGCATGCATTGTCAAATACCACCGGACTTCTCGTTAATACTAATGTAGCATCGCCATTAGGGGCAAAGGGGCAAGGAAATGGCAATGGTACGGGTAATACAGGAGGCGCTCCGGGAGCTCCTTCTTATTATCCGTTATTCCAAAATCATATTGAGCAACTCGGCAAGCTGTCCCGTCCCCTGTTATCATTTTCTTTTTTTGGAACTATGTTCGTCCTAGATTGATTCCGTGAGTACAGAACAGGAGTACGATGCGCAAGCCGACATGGTTGACGATCAACCCGAAATCGCAGGGCCCGGCCCGTATCCCGAATCGATTCCCGCTGGTCAACTCAACCAGCAACTCGGTCACCCTCCACACTCGCAAGGTATGCACGGCGAAAACACACCTCAAGCCTATAGTTCGATGACGCAATTACTTGATCCTTACGACCCGGTACTCGACATGGACCCCTTCGGTCTTTCGGCAAGCATGCAATTTCCAACTCAATTCTCTTTCGACACGAGCTCAATGCGATGAGCCATGATCGCTCATGATACCCACGGTTGGGCATAATCTCTCCTACGATTTCGGCTGGCGTTCGAGTAATGATAATCGGTTTTGATGTCTCGTGGGATCAGGCAATGATTTTTTTTTTTTTTTGGTTTTTGGGGTTCGGTTTGGGAGCATTTGGGATGGAGTTTAAAAAAAACAAAAAATGGAAGGGACGGAGCAAAAAAAGTTTATGAGCAATGGCTATGGCAGATTTCGAGTTGCTATCGCATAGCATCATTCGCATGCCTTCAAGGCGATCGCGGTCATGAGCACGGTCTAAATAAGCACTGTATGTATTGAGCATTTCATTCTCTCATGATGGAGATGGCTTTCACGGTGGATAAGGAAGATGCGTACGCATACTTAAGGGCAGAGATGGGCGGAGTAAGTTCCATGAACGGGTATTCCTGCCTGGCGACAATGGCAGGAAGAAAAAGCATCCACAAATGGAAATATATTGGATGGTTTCCTTTTCTTTAAGATACATTTTCCACGACATTGTCTTTCATTTTCTAGTTGTTCCTCTTTCCTTCTGTCATTTGGATTGGTGATCGTTCCCTCATGAATGATGCCACTATCTATCTTGAAATATACGTTGATGCTGACGTTTGGATGAATGTAAAATTGTATGTAATTACGAATGAATGATAATACCAGTAAACGAGCGATTAATATGATAATTTGATATTGACTCCAAGCAAGGAGTTCTGAATAAAACAATTTGACACTTTGCTTTGTGATTAATTTCTCCAACAACAGAAATGATGAGACAATCCGCGAAATGCCGATTTTTATTATAAAAAGTAGTCGCAATGTATTAGAATCCAGAACATCCGAGCTCGCCGCCTCCATGAGATGAGATCAACAAGAACAAAGACAATTGATGAATCATGGCTTAGAACCTCACTCCATGTCGCACAAATGATTGTCATACGTACATAATACCTGCCTAGGTATCTATGAACCTATCATTATTGGAGTCAAATGATTTCACAAAGCATATTCGCCATTTTTTTTAAATAAAAAAATCAACATCCAATAACCCCAATGAGAAGTTTTCAATCCTGCTATCACTACTCTGTCACTTCCATCACTCACTATCACTTATCACTGCAATCAAAGCAATTCTCGACTTTAACCCCACATCTCAGAAAAATATTGGAAAGCCCTGGTGGGCTGCTCGCTTATATCCAACACTAAACTAAATCAAGTTTAGATTCTTTGTGTACTGAGGAACGAACCGACTTTTCAGCATCAACGACGATTTACAAGTTTACCTTGTTCTCCAACCGCAAATCAGCAATTCTCGAGAGACGGCTTCCTTGTGTTCAGGAATCTGTCAGTCTCGTTTTCTAAACTCACAACCCCCGAATTGTTCTCTCGGTAGCAAAAGCTTCTTCGGAGGCACTCGAGAAGCAGATCAAGATGTCGGGTATCGCTTCCAAGGTAATTATTATTCTCTCAACAATCAACAATAAATTTTTCATGCAGTTTGCGCTTGAAAAGACGCGGCGCAGATTCAGCCATACATTGATTTTCAATCATTTACGAGTTCCAAGGCTAACATGAATCAATATAGAACCTTTACGAGCTTCTCGGTACGCACGAATTTACTCAAGAAACAATGTTTGAAGCACAAAAACTGATCAAATATAGGCAACGACCACGAATATGATTCCGACAAGGAGCCAGAGCCACCAGTGAAGGTTGTCGATAAGACTCCAGCCCGCAACACCAAGCGCAATGCTACTGGAGAAGCACCAGCAGCCAAGGCTCCTGTAGCTGATGGACGTGGTGCTCGTCGTGGAGGATACTCCGGAAACGAAGGTGGTTAGTACATGGACAATCTCAATTTTCATACATTAATACCTCCAATGTCACGGAACATTTGAGCTAGTTGCAGTGGTCAATCAGAACATTAGCTAATGCTATTTTAACAGCATTCCGTGACCGTAACGCTGGCAGCACCAACAACCAAGGCAAGCCAACCGATGACTCTGTCCGACAAGATCGTCACCCAAGACGTGAAGGTGGTGGACGTGGCCGAGGTGGCGCTCGTGGAGGTGCCAAATTCGATCGTCACAGCCGTGGAGTCGGAGGGTAAGAAATCCCCTGTGATAAAAGTGGTAGCATAAAATATTAACACTCTAAAAGTGATTCCGAGAAGCAAGCTGCTCATGGCTGGGGTGCTACCGAAGGTGGTGCCGAGCTCGCCGATGAGCAAGCCGGTGAAGCTATTGCCAAGACCGAGGCTAAGGAAGATGGTGAAGCAGCTGAAGCTGCCGCTGAAGAGGCTGAGCCAGAAGACAACAGTGTCTCTTATACCGATTACCTCGCTCAATTAGAGGAGAAGAGAGCCGCACTCAACGCCGCTACCCCTGAAGCTCGCAAGCCAGACAGCAAGCTCGACAAGAAGTGGGCCAACGCCAAGGCTATCGCCAAGGAGGACGAGGAAGACTTCGTCGCTGGAACTGGTGGCAAGGCCAAGCGTGAACGTCAACGCACTCAAAAGCAAGTCGTTGAGATTGATCAACGTTACGTTGAACCCACCGAACGTGCTGGTGGTAGAGGAGGTTTCCGTGGAGGCCGCGGACGTGGTGATGGACCACCACGTGGCGACAGAGGAGGTTTCCGAGGACGTGGTGAGGGCCAACGTGGACGCGCTCGTGGCGATAGAGGCCCACCACGCCAAAGTGCCCCAAGAAACGGAGGTGCTTCTGCATCCATCCAAATTGAGGACCAATCTGCTTTCCCAAGCCTTGGCGCATAAAGTTTCATTGAAACTGAACCTGCCGATCTTTCACAACATGGCATAACATGATATGTAGAAATGATCTCAAAAAATTTGTGTTTTACGCAATCGTTATATGAGAAACAAAAAATTTGATTAAAAAACGGGCCAAAATTGCATTGTGAACTGGTTAATGAAGGATTTTGCTCATAATGAATGTACAGAGAGGCTTCTACGAATAAAAGGGACGTATTGGTTCTCAATGATGTTTCGTGATGGGACGTTTCTCATTTCCATTTTAACAACTTGTCTTTTTGTCTTTCTTTGATCTTACCTTGCGCGGGTGGTGATGTGACGGTCTGGGGGTGGGATCTGGTTACCTGGACTTTTCTTCGCATTTCACTTGCTTGTAACGGTAGATAAAATGAATCGGGTATTTTCTCTCCATCTTGGTTTTGGGGGTCTTGATATCTATTTGTTCGACCTTGGCTCTTTGATAAATACACATCAATGGGAAAGGGAAGTAATGAAGTCTAGCTCGAATGTCTTTTCATCCATGAAGTGAGATAGGTACGTAGCAAGAGCTACCAAGTATATGACACGCCTGCTGTTTCATGGTACATCTCAAGTCCTTGTCTGTATGTATGTAGTCAGTTATGGAGAAGGCATGTCCAAGAAGTTTTAGGTTTATAAGTCTGAGATTTCCCGAGTACATGAGTACGAAAGCTTTTGTCTCCTTTTTGTCACTCTTTTCAAGTCCTTTTAAGTGGACTACATAGGTGGAAGTAGAGCCTTAGTCTTTGGTCATCTTTGGAAAAGATTGGGTACATTTCCTTGTTGAGAGGCCTTTTTTTTTACTCGGGAAGGAAGATGTCCTTTTATTCATGATCGTTGCACGACACAAACGCATTCCTAGGGAATCCGTCAATATTTTCGTTTGTATATTCGGCCAAGCGAGATTAAACAGCTTCTTGAGGGTGTTCGATCGGCTAGCTGGGGAAGTACGGTGGAGTATTATGTGGTTGAGTCTGTCTGATAATGAAGGATCATGTCCTAGGTGTCTAGATTCTCGTTACTGCTAATGGTAGATAACTTGTGTTATACTGTGGAAAGCCTCAGTATGGTTGTTGACGTCGGTATCTTTCTAGAAGTTTTCCGATTTCGACTCCAGTCATTCCCTTGATGTCCAATCACATGTGTATTCCATCATCGATGTTTCCGAAAGGATTGATTGAGGGTGTGGCAAATCAAGCGCCGGCATTCACAGATATTGGTCGAGCCTGGGTGGTGGCTTGATCCTGGTGGTTTATGTGGTGGAAGGCGGATTTTCGTCTAATTATTCCACATCATCGCCACCATCTTATCCCATCTAGTATTCTTCAAATTCTTCGCATCTTGCATGTCCTAAAATGGAATGGGAATCATTAAGACAAGCATTCGACTATGCTAACATGTTACGCTCCAAGTCCAGGGTTAGGATACTTTTGTGGTGGGGGCAAGGTGACCACTCCGCTTCGCGTAACACAATGAGGATATAATTTATAGCAACCACGACTCTTCCACATACGACCATAGACTGAAGAGAATTGGGCATCCCGTCCGCTCTGCCATACACAAGCTTCAGATCGGTGGATTAGTAGTTGGGTGGGTGACCACCAGCGAATCCCCACTGTTGTATGTTTAATCATTATTTTTGTTTTTGTTGAGGGGGCGGAGACGAGGGGATATTCAGATGACGCTTTTGCTGGACTTGGTCCCTGACAGCGGCGTCTTTTTGGCACCGCGAAAAGATAGGTAGGATGTAATGCTTTTAATGTTTCACTTGCCTGCGTTATTGATTAGGTCCGTTCTGGAGGCTATCACTCGTTTGCTTGAGGTTTTGGTTTTTACCCCTCCTTAGGGGGAGCATTAGACAATTACTTGTGAGATTTTTTCTTGGGCGTGTGATTTTTTGATGCTTGGAAGCTTAAATCCATCCTACTTCTGGTGATAGAATATTTATTCTCTGTCTACATCGACAGGAAGTTCAGAATGGGTTTACCTAGAAAAGTATATATCGACTGCCGGTACGTCAGATGAGGAGATAATATTTGTAATTCTGATGTATTTAGGTGTACCTAGAGCTATATTTTACTTCCCTAGAATTTTGCTGTAGCCTTTGAATAGTGGTATTGTTGATGTGTGAGAAAGGCGGGTGAAAAGAGTTCTTGGTGAATAACGTCATGATGAGGGGGAAAAGGTGAAGCTATTGGACGTTCATTGTAAATTGATATTGAGGTTTTCTGGCTATCGAGCTATTCAAATGTATTCTTGCTAGGGAAAGTTATGTTTGCCTGGGTGATGGACAAGAGGGATATGTTATACAAAGGGGACACGGTCTGTTGTATTCTCGACTCGGAAAGAGAAACATCATTGGATTCAGAACGAATTGCTACGACTACTGAATCAATGATTGGAGATCCTATATTGGTTACGAGAGACTGGCGGGGAGAAATGATAATCTTTGCTTCACGGATTTTAGAAATGGCGGTCTTAAGGTGTCGTGGTTTTCTTGTCTTCAGAGGGCAATGCAGTCTAGGACATGAATATGATATGCACTCTTCTGGCTCGTGCCTTGCGAATACTGTAGAGTAATATGAATACTATGTCAGTTTGGAGAAAATTTGATGGCTTGCTTGCGCGGCACTCCAACGCGTGATATGGCAAGCCTCGCCACTGACTAAGGTGACATTCAACTTGAGAAGTTATAGCTGGGATTTTGTGGGTGAATTCAACAGATTCGGCTTATCGTTGCTAGCTCGTTGCCGTTGCTAGACACATAGTGATGATTATTGATCTCTGCATTATTTTCGTACCGAGCACAGAAGCTCATCTTCCGTCATACTTCGGATGTTTGAGTCTACTTATATCAATGCCGTCGTCAATGAGTGCTACCCTGACAGCGTCCTGTAAATCTTCTTCAGGATCTTAAGGAACCATCAAACAAACGAAGCTGAAGGGTTTGAGACAAATTTGTCACTAGAGAAAATTGAAGAATATGACAGAGATAAAAGCAGAAATGACCTGCATAAGACTGATGATACATGCTCTGAGTAGGCTTTATTCTACTTCAAAGCTCTCCCTCCAAAAACAGTCATTTGTGCTCTATTCTACGAGCTTTTCTGGACGTCAAAACCTGCTCTTTTTGGCACGACGCATTGCCTGATTCGCAACGAACATGATCTTGCAAATTGAGGAATAGAGAATTTGCTTCTGCCCATCCCGATAGATTCGCAAGTTTGCTAACACGGAACTAGGAGATATGGAGGGTATACTAGATGAAAAGTATGCGTGCATTACTCTTTATGTGCAGAATGCACAATGTCACCATCATCGAGATATAACCGCTGCCGAACTTCCCCTCTACATCTCTGAAGAAAGATGTCCCGAGTTTGACGACAGCGAAGAGATCGATGGTGGCGACTCGGAGGATAGTCGTTCGGGAGCTTCAACTTGGAGCTCCTAGATCTAACTATCTTCTTCCTTGTTCGTAGACAGGCTTCTTTCCAGCACCCCTCAGTCAGATCCCCGGTGAGGAATTCCCAATAACCGCTATCATCCATGTGCGCAACAGGAACTCCAAATCGAGACAGAAACAGGTAGGGGGAAAGCGTTGTAGGATCATACCTCGTAAATACAAGCAAGCATCTTGATTTTGCAAAGTAGATCTTCATTTCCTTCCCACTCTTTTCACTTCCCACGTATCCTTTTACTTTCTACGTCCTTTCCGCTTTTCCTATTCCCCATCTTCCCACAAGCAAAAATACATCTACAACATACAAGTAAGAAGCATCTTGGATATCCCTCATGAACATTTCCTTTCCATCAAGATGTCCAAAGAAATCAAGATAGCTCAGCACTGACAATCATCCAATTGTCGAAAGGCCATGATCACTACGAAAGACAATCTGATATCGAGTATCCTGCATCCAAGTTATGTCGTAATCATTACCGGACTGTGATTCTCATTCATAAGAAACCCCTCGTCCCCTTTCCCGTTCCTGCTGCTTTCTTTGACGCTCTAAAATTACCTTATTCAATATTCTCAACTCCTTCATCGTTCCGCCTGAAAGCGTGCTCCGAAATGCTCACCAGAGAGCTGCGCATCGAATATTTATACTACTATTTGTCTGAGATATTGGACGTGATACCCGTAGGACCACTAGATCATAGGTCCGACGAATCATTACTCCTACACCAAATATTTAGTTTCCTCTTATGAAATTGTAAGATTCCCATGGTAACATCACATTGAAGTATCCCGTTCAAACAACTGTGTGGAAAAAGTCAACACTGGACAGTCGCCCGTCATATGTGTATCCAATTCATCCAAAACCTAAATCCAATGTCTATACAATATAATTACAACGACAGTTTCTTGTTACCTCATCCTGTCTCATCTTCTCTTATCTATCAACATAAGCACTTACTCAAAATCGCCCTAATGCCTGGAATATACGTATCACATCTATTATCCCCGAGCCATACCACCCACCCAATACATAGGTATCCAATTCTTATATCCATTTCCAACCCACCAGAAACACCACTCCGCTATTCAGTTTTACATTTACTCCAGAACTCCACCCAGAGCCCCTCCCTTTGAGCCCTCCATCTCTTTTCCCGCATTAATATCATATGCCTTCCCAGGTTTCTTCAATCCCTGTTCTCCATCCCCATCAATATCACCCACCACTTTCTTTTCAATTTCCTTGCGCGAGTTCTCTTCCGAGATGCGTTGCGTTTCTCTAGATGCTTCGTCGCTTTCCCAATCGTAGTTTCCTGCGCCTCCTCGCTGTATGCATAAATCTGTCAGCTAATCCGTTCTCCAGTTTCTTCTACATTGCCATCTTCCTCGTCCCAATTCCTGCCCTCTCTCCCCCCCAAAACTTCTCTCCCGCAATAAAAAAAGAAAACCAAAACTCACCCCACCCTTGTAAACAACACTCTGCATACTACTCCTCACATTTCTCGGCGAGCTCGACGGGGGCGCGGGATTAATCGTTGGGTTATCGTAATTCGTCAATGTTTGCGTGAGACCTGAATTCACGAGCGAAGCGGGAGAAGTGAGATTGCCTGCGCCGCCGCGACCGGTATCTAATTTTGAGGTGTGAGCTAGCTCTCTCTTGCTTGGAATGAGAGAGAGGGAAGGAGAACAAACGTTGATATTCTGGCGGTGGTCCAGCGGCGCTTTTGGCGCGCAATGCCTGTGAGAGTAAGGAGGGAGATTTATTTTGCTTGACGGAAGAGGAGGAGGATTGGGCTTCGAGATCCTACGCGCGGCTTGAATTAGTGGGTGTTTGATGTTTGGATGGAGT